GAACAAGTTCAAATGAACTCGTTCAAATGAACTAGTTAAAATGAACAAGTTCTAATGAACTAATTCCAATGAATCAGTTCAGATGAACTAATTCAAATGAACAAGTTCAAATTAACTAGTTCAAATGAACTCGTTCAGCTGATTTGAACTAGTTCATTAGTACTTTCTCATTTGAACTGGTTCATTTGAACTGATTCATTTGAACTTGTTCATTTGAACTAGTTCATTTGAAATGGTTCATTTGAACTGGTTCATTTGAACTGGTTCATTTGAGCTGGTTCATTTGAACTACTTCATTTAAAATAGTTACTTTGAAATGGTTCATTTGAACTGGTTCATTTGAGCTGGTTGAACTGGTTCATTTGAACTGGTTCATTTGAATTAGTTCATTTGACCTAGTTCATTTGAACTTGTTCATTTGAACTAGTTCATTTGAACTTGTTCATTTGAACTGGTTCAGTTGAACTTGATTATTTGAATTGATTCATTTGAACTGGTTCATTTGAACTGATTCATTTGAACTAGTTTATTTGAACTAGTTCATTTGAACTGATTCATTTGAACTTGTTCATTTCAACTGGTTCATTTGAACTGATTCATTTGAACTTGTTCATTTGAACTAGTTCATTTGAAATGGTTCATTTGAACTGGTTCATTTGAACTGGTTCATTTGAGCTGGTTCATTTGAACTACTTCATTTAAAATAGTTACTTTGAAATGGTTCATTTGAACTGGTTCATTTGAGCTGGTTGAACTGGTTCATTTGAACTTGTTCATTTGAACTAGTTCAGTTGAACTTGTTCATTTGAACTGATTCATTTGAACTTGTTCATTTGAACTGGTTCATTTGAACTAGTTCATTTGATCTGGTTCATTTGAACTGGTTCATTTGAGCGGGTTGAACTGGTTAATTTGAACTGGTTCATTTGAACTGATTAATTTGAACTGGTTCATTTGAACTGGTTCATTTGAACTGGTTAATTTGAACTGGTTAATTTGAACTGGTTTACTTGAACTGGTTCATTTGAGCTGGTTCATTTGAACTGGTTCATTTGAGCGGGTTGAACTGGTTCATTTAAACTGATTAATTTGAACTGGTTCATTTGAACTGGTTCATTTGAGCTGGTTGAACTTGTTCATTTGAACTTGATTATTTGAACTGATTCATTTGAACTGGTTCATTTGAACTGATTCATTTGAACTGGTTCATTTGAACTGGTTCATTTGTACTGGTTCATTTTAACTGATTCATTTGAACTTGTTCATTTGAATTGGTTCATTTGAACTTGTTCATTTGAACTCGTTCATTTGAACTGATTCATTTGAATTAGTTCATTTGAACTAGTTCAGTTGAACTTGTTCATTTGAACTGATCCATTTGAACTTGTTCATTTGAACTTGTTCATTTGAACTTGTTCATTTGAACTAGTTCATTTGAACTGGTTCATTTGAGCTGGTTGAACTGGATCAGTTTAACTAGTTCATTTGAACTAGTTCATTTGAACTTGTTCATTTGAGTTAGTTCATTTGAACTGATTCATTTGAATTAGTTCATTTGAACTTGTTCATTTGAACTAGTTCAGTTGAACTGATCCATTTGAACTTGTTCATTTGAACTTGTTCATTTGAACTTGTTCATTTGAACTAGTTCATTTGAACTTGTTCATTTGAACTGGTTCATTTGAGCTGGTTGAACTGGATCAGTTGAACTAGTTCATTTGAACTAGTTCATTTGAACTTGTTCATTTGAATTAGTTCATTTGAACTGATTCATTTGAATTAGTTCATTTGAACTTGTTCATTTGAACTTGTTCATTTGAACTTGTTCATTTGAACTGGTTCATTTGAACTTGTTCATGTGAACTGGTTCATTTGAACTTGTTCATGTGAACTAGTTCAGTTGAACTTGTTTATTTGAACTGATTCATTTGAACTGGTGTATTTGAACTGATTCATTTGAACTTGTTGATTTGAACTAGTTCATTTGAACTGATTCATTTGAATTAGTTCATTTGACCTAGTTCATTTGAACTAGTTCAGTTGAACTTGTTCATTTGAGCTGATTCATTTGAACTTGTTCATTTGAACTGGTTCATTTGAGCTGGTTGAACTGGATCAGTTGAACTAGTTCATTTGAACTAGTTCATTTGAACTTGTTCATTTGAGTTAGTTCATTTGAACTGATTCATTTGAATTAGTTCATTTGAACTTGTTCATTTGAACTAGTTCAGTTGAACTTGTTCATTTGAACTGATCCATTTGAACTTGTTCATTTGAACTTGTTCATTTGAACTTGTTCATTTGAACTTGTTCATTTGAACTAGTTCATTTGAACTTGTTCATTTGAACTGGTTCATTTGAGCTGGTTGAACTGGATCAGTTGAACTAGTTCATTTGAACTTGTTTATTTGAACTAGTTCATTTGAACTTGTTCATTTGAACTGGTTTATTTGAGCTGGTTGAACTGGATCAGTTAAACTAGTTCATTTGAACTAGTTCATTTGAACTTGTTCATTTGAATTAGTTCATTTGAACTGATTCATTTGAATTAGTTCATTTGAACTTGTTCATTTGAACTTGTTCATTTGAACTTGTTCATTTGAACTGGTTCATTTGAACTTGTTCATGTGAACTGGTTCATTTGAACTTGTTCATGTGAACTAGTTCAGTTGAACTTGTTTATTTGAACTGATTCATTTGAACTGGTGTATTTGAACTGATTCATTTGAACTTGTTGATTTGAACTAGTTCATTTGAACTGATTCATTTGAATTAGTTCATTTGAACTAGTTCATTTGAACTTGTTCATTTGAACTAGTTCATTTGAACTTGTTCATTTGAACTAGTTCAGTTGAACTTGATTATTTGAATTGATTCATTTGAACTGGTTCATTTGAACTGATTCATTTGAACTAGTTCACTTGAACTAGTTCATTTGAACTGATTCATTTGAACTTGTTCATTTCAACTGGTTTATTTGAACTAGTTCAGTTGAACTTGTTTATTTCAACTAGTTCATTTAAACGTGGTCATTTGAACTAGTTCATTTGAACTTGTTCATTTGAACTAGTTCAGTTGATCTTGTTCATTTGAACTGATTCATTTAAACCTGTTGATTTGAACTGATTCATTTAAACTTGTTCATTTGAGCTAGTTCATTTGAACTTGTTCATTTGAACTAGTTCAGTTGAAGTTGTTCATTTGAACTGATTCATTTGAACTTGTTCATTTCAACTGGTTCATTTGAACTAGTTCATTTGAACTTGTTCATTTGAACTAGTTCAGTTGAACTTGTTCATTTGAGCTGATTCATTTGAACTTGTTCATTTGAACTGGTTCATTTGAACTAGTTCATTTGAACTGATTTATTTGAATTAGTTCATTTGAGCTGGTTGAACTGGTTCAGTTGAACGAGTTCATTTGAACTAGTTAATTTGAACTAGTTCAGTTGAACTTGTTCATTTGAACTGATTCATTTGAACTGGTTCATTTGAACAGATTCAGTTGAGCTTGTTCATTTGAACCAGTTCATTTGAACTTGTTCATTTGAACTTGTTCATTTGAACTTGTTCATTTGAACTAGTTCATTTGCACTTGTTCATTTGAATTAGTTCATTTGAACTGATTCATTTGAATTAGTTCATTAGTAGTAAGGAACTGTCTGTTTTGGAGCGGAAGTCTGTTTTGGAGCGGAAGTGACGTCACATCCGGTTTAGATAAGGTTTTTTGGGAGTGGAAGTCTGTTTTGGAGCGGAAGTCTGTTTTGGAGCGGAAGTGACGTCATATCCGCTTTAGACAAGGTTTTTTTTTTGGAGTGGAAGTCTGTTTTGGAGCGGAAGTCTGTTTTGAAGTGGAAGTGACGTCATATCCTGTTTGTATATTTTTTTCAAGGTCACGTGATGACTTAACAACAATAACAACAAACATAACTCTTACATCTCATGGCAATTTTGTTCAAGATCACGTGGTGGCTCAACAACAATAGCTTGAGATAAGAACGTGATGACTCAGCAACAATAGCTTGAGATATGGGTGGAGGCGACGCGTGGAACCAAGATCAAGGTCAGCAGCCAAGATCAAGGCCAGCAAAGCCAAGGTGATGACTCAGCAACAATAGCTTGAGATAAGGGTGGAGGCGACTCGTGGAGCCAAGATCAAGGTTAGCAGCCAAGATCAAGGCCAGCAAAGCCAAGTTTGAGATAAGGGGGCGTGAGAGTTTTTTTTGTGAGTGATATGCATGCGTAAAAACAAAAAACAAAAAAACAAAAAAAAGTTGTGATAAGGGGTAGTGATGGCGCGTGGGACCAAGATCAAGGCCAGCAAAGCCAAGCTTGAGATAAGGTATGCATACGTAAAAACAAAAAAAAAATGTTGTGATAAGGAGGGTGATGGCGCGTGGAGTGTGAGAAAAAATGAGAAGAAATGCTTACTAAAATAACCGAAAGAGGTTTTAGAATAGCTTTACATTTTCGGGAAATCACTTCATTGACAAGCGCAAGTGAGTGTAGTGTTTCTGAAAAAATGGTGCGATATTGTGTAACGTGTAATCTGCGTGTAAATAAAACTCGATGGAGCAATCATCTTCGAACAAACGAGCACAAGAATAACGCGTTTAAGTCGTTGGATGGACGTGTAAAGCTGTCTTCGAGCGGCTTTCAAAACCGCATCTGTACATATCGTTTTGAGGCATAGTCTGTGGTACTTGGTCCCTAATACTTCGTACCTAGCAGCTGGTACAGGGGTACCCAAGTCACAATGTACCACACTTCCAAGTACCATTTGTTAAGGTATTACTAATCACGAATCTGGCAAGTGCAGCAAGCTTGCATTTTGATTCATTGGACTGTGGTAATCTATATATAGATATAGATATACATATATAGCTATATATATATATATATGTATATATTTATATATATAGATAAGTAAGAGAGTTGTATGCAGCACTTCTTTATATGGAAGTCTTATATGCAACGTCTTTTGTTTATGATTTTTTGTTGTTGTTTATGTTTATGTATGTGCAGTCAAACTTTGGATCTACTCGTAGCATTATCATAGATTATAGTATTAGTTAACTGTGCTTGCAGAACCAAAATCAACTTCATTTTACATTTTGTTTGAAATGCGAAACTTAAATAGTCAGAACTCGGGCTACAAAACAATTTCAAGTTACGTGTAAATGTGTCTTCTGTGTGTGTGTGTGTGTGTGTGTGTCTGTGTTGGGCATGATATATGTCTCTAGTTAACTGTTATTGGTGTTTGTGTATTGTTCTTTTAAACGCTTCTGGGAAAACTAACTAACTGATCTGATCTGATCTAATCTGGTCGAACCGGATCGAATCGGATCTGATCTGATCTGATCTGGTTTGCTGATCTAGCTGTGCACAAACTGTTGGAGCAGTATTAGCCATGGCATTGTGATGATTAGTATGATTTGTTGATAACCGTTAGCGAATGAGTATAAACTTTTACTAGAATTGCACATATCTTCCTCACAAAAGCACATATGTCCATTGCCTGAACTTTCCATCATGCACACGTGATCGACCATGAATAAATTGATTTGTAATTGTGACGTACACATGCGTCGCACCACCTCGTAGGCTGCAAGAACAAGGACAAGCATAAAATCACATATCGGGACGTGTGTGACTCGTGACTCGTGACACGTGACTCGTGGCTCGTGACCCATGACGCGTTACTTACGTGATCGCTGATGTCGCACCATCTTCACACAGCAGCCATTGCAGGTCATCAAAGGCGGCTGATCATGCGGCAGCGCCGTATAGTTGAACGGATCCTTGCAACGTGCATCCGTCCACGAATCGCACTCGTAACAGTAAATCGAACGCGCTGCAGTATAAAGCACAACATATATATTAACGAACAGCATTAATCACGCCTGAAAACAGAATTCGGCTGCTCATCTGGAATACAGCAAGCGTATCACTATATATATACATATATCAACTCTAACTATGTCATTCCTACAAAATTGCATGCAATTACAGTGTTAAATTGGAACAAGTATGCGACAACGTGAAACAGAAAAAAGTGAATTTGTTGGCAAAATTTATAGCAACTTTTATAGCAATCAAATTTTTATATATATATATATCAAATTTTATAGCGATATTTATAGCAACTTTTATGATAACTTTTATAGCAATGTTTATAGCAACTTTTATAACAAAGTCTATAGCGACTAGTATGTCAATTTTTATAGCAACTTTTACATCAACTTTTCTAGCAACTTTTATAAAAAATTTTTTAGCATCCTTTTTACAATTATAGATAATTTTATAGCAGATTTTGTATAGCATTATTGTAGCATTGCGTTAGGTGCATTATCGAAAACCTTTTCATTGTGTTTTGCCTTGGCTGTAAGCGTAAATAATGTTCTAAATATATACAAGATGTTCGACTAACAAATACCCTGCCTTCTTCAATTTATGTACATAAAGTTTTTTCAAGTATTTGCCTATATTGATACTCGTTCAAGGAGTAAGAAGAGTATATTAGCTTTGGAGCAATTTATGTTTATCTTTGTTTAAATGTTGCATGTCATGTCTCAAAAAGTGTAAAGAGATCTGGAAAATTACTTATATAAATTGGATTTTACTTTATCATGCTTAGCATAAAAATTATAATTTTATTGACGAACATCAAATCTGAAATATATCCTTGTGTATAGAGCTTCCCTTTAGAAATTCTTGAAGACCAATTCTTCTTCTTCAACAATTTTGCTCGACAGGAGCTGCTGAGCTTAATTGTTAAGTCACTCTTTATATTTATTTAAAATAATATATACAACACTATTGGAGGGCGTGGCAAATATATAAGAAATATTTTAAATAAATTTGTATTTATACATTTTGTTTAATGATTTGGGGTGGGTTATTCGCTTTGTCTTGGATCTTGAATTGTGAAAGCTTTCTAAGATTACATAGAAACTGCATCTAAGAATAATTTTCAAAATCAAGACCAAAGGCTAGGGAGTCATAATTACATCAGCTTTAGCTGTCAAGAAATCTTCAGATAAGGTCTTCAGATTAGACTTAAAGTTAAAATTTGAGCATAAGCCTTCAACTTAGATATATTGAGGTATATTTCAGCTATACTTGTGTCATCTTTTCAGACTAGCCTTTAAATAGGATGCTATAAATATTTATATATATATATCTGCTCTTTTATGGATCTTCTATTGTGTAACTTAAGTTAAAAGTTTCAGCATTAAATATTTTATAGACACTAATTTTTCGACTACATCTGATTGTTTAACTAATACAGATTATCTACAAGATGCTATTTGATAGGCCAGAAAAAATTGTTTTTTATTTCAATATATTTTTCAATAACTAAATATTAATCATTCATATGAAATGTGAAGAGATAAAAGCAGAAAGAAGTGTTCATTGCACATTCAGTGATAAGGAAATGTGAATTAGTTAGTCAAAGCAACTGCAACATGTGTTATCTAGTTAAACTACCAAATTCACATTTCCTTATCACTGAATGTGCAATGAACACTTCATAAAAGATCCATAAAAGAGCAGATATATATACATAAATATTTATAGCATTCTATTTAAAGGCTAGTCTGAAAAGATGACACAAGTATAGCTGAAATATACCTCAATATATCTAAGTTGAAGGCTTATGCTCAAATCAACTTTAAGTCTAATCTGAAGACCTTATCTGAAGATTTCTTGACAGCTAAAGCTGATGTAATTATGATTCCCTAGCCTTTGGTCTTGATTTTGAAAATTATTCTTAGATGCAGTTTCTATGTAATATTAGAAAGCTTTCACAATTCAAGATCCAAGACAAAGCGAATAACCCACCCCAAATCATTAAACAAAATGTATAAATACAAATTTATTTAAAATATTTCTTATATATTTGCCACGCCCTCCAATAGTGTTGTATATATTATTTTAAATAAATATAAAGAGTGACTTAACAATTAAGCTCAGCAGCTCCTGTCGAGCAAAATTGTTGAAGAAGAAGAATTGGTCTTCAAGAATTTCTAAAGGGAAGCTCTATACACAAGGATATATTTCAGATTTGATGTTCGTCAATAAAATTATAATTTTTATGCTAAGCATGATAAAGTAAAATCCAATTTATATAAGTAATTTTCCAGATCTCTTTACACTTTTTGAGACATGACATGCAACATTTAAACAAAGATAAACATAAATTGCTCCAAAGCTAATATACTCTTCTTACTCCTTGAACGAGTATCAATATAGGCAAATACTTGAAAAAACTTTATGTACATAAATTGAAGAAGGCAGGGTATTTGTTAGTCGAACATCTTGTATATATTTAGAACATTATTTACGCTTACAGCCAAGGCAAAACACAATGAAAAGGTTTTCGATAATGCACCTAACGCAATGCTACAATAATGCTATACAAAATCTGCTATAAAATTATCTATAATTGTAAAAAGGATGCTAAAAAATTTTTTATAAAAGTTGCTAGAAAAGTTGATGTAAAAGTTGCTATAAAAATTGACATACTAGTCGCTATAGACTTTGTTATAAAAGTTGCTATAAACATTGCTATAAAAGTTGTCATAAAAGTTGCTATAAATATCGCTATAAAATTTGATATAAAGTTGCTATAAACATTGCTATAAAAGTTGCTATAAAAGTTGCTATAAATTTTGCCAACAAATTCACTTTTTTCTGTTTCACGTTGTCGCATACTTGTTCCAATTTAACACTGTAATTGCATGCAATTTTGTAGGAATGACATAGTTAGAGTTGATATATGTATATATATAGTGATACGCTTGCTGTATTCCAGATGAGCAGCCGAATTCTGCTTTCAGGCGTGATTAATGCTGTTCGTTAATATATATGTTGTGCTTTATACTGCAGCGCGTTCGATTTACTGTTACGAGTGCGATTCGTGGACGGATGCACGTTGCAAGGATCCGTTCAACTATACGGCGCTGCCGCATGATCAGCCGCCTTTGATGACCTGCAATGGCTGCTGTGTGAAGATGGTGCGACATCAGCGATCACGTAAGTAACGCGTCATGGGTCACGAGCCACGAGTCACGTGTCACGAGTCACGAGTCACACACGTCCCGATATGTGATTTTATGCTTGTCCTTGTTCTTGCAGCCTACGAGGTGGTGCGAAGCATGTGTACGTCACAATTACAAATCAATTTATTCATGGTCGATCACGTGTGCATGATGGAAAGTTCAGGCAATGGACATATGTGCTTTTGTGAGGAAGATATGTGCAATTCTAGTAAAAGTTTATACTCATTCGCTAACGGTTATCAACAAATCATACTAATCATCACAATGCCATGGCTAATACTGCTCCAACAGTTTGTGCACAGCTAGATCAGCAAACCAGATCAGATCAGATCAGATCCGATTCGATCCGGTTCGACCAGATTAGATCAGATCAGATCAGTTAGTTAGTTTTCCCAGAAGCGTTTAAAAGAACAATACACAAACACCAATAACAGTTAACTAGAGACATATATCATGCCCAACACACACACACACACACACACACACACAGAAGACACATTTACACGTAACTTGAAATTGTTTTGTAGCCCGAGTTCTGACTATTTAAGTTTCGCATTTCAAACAAAATGTAAAATGAAGTTGATTTTGGTTCTGCAAGCACAGTTAACTAATACTATAATCTATGATAATGCTACGAGTAGATCCAAAGTTTGACTGCACATACATAAACATAAACAACAACAAAAAATCATAAACAAAAGACGTTGCATATAAGACTTCCATATAAAGAAGTGCTGCATACAACTCTCTTACTTATCTATATATATAAATATATACATATATATATATATATAGCTATATATGTATATCTATATCTATATATAGATTACCACAGTCCAATGAATCAAAATGCAAGCTTGCTGCACTTGCCAGATTCGTGATTAGTAATACCTTAACAAATGGTACTTGGAAGTGTGGTACATTGTGACTTGGGTACCCCTGTACCAGCTGCTAGGTACGAAGTATTAGGGACCAAGTACCACAGACTATGCCTCAAAACGATATGTACAGATGCGGTTTTGAAAGCCGCTCGAAGACAGCTTTACACGTCCATCCAACGACTTAAACGCCTTATTCTTGTGCTCGTTTGTTCGAAGATGATTGCTCCATCGAGTTTTATTTACACGCAGATTAAACGTTACACAATATCGCACCATTTTTTCAGAAACACTACACTGACTCACTTGCGCTTGTCAATGAAGTGATTTCCCGAAAATGTAAAGCTATTCTAAAACCTCTTTCGGTTATTTTAGTAAGCATTTCTTCTCATTTTTTCTCACACTCCACGCGCCATCACCCTCCTTATCACAACATTTTTTTTTTGTTTTTACGTATGCATACCTTATCTCAAGCTTGGCTTTGCTGGCCTTGATCTTGGTCCCACGCGCCATCACTACCCCTTATCACAACTTTTTTTTGTTTTTTTGTTTTTTGTTTTTACGCATGCATATCACTCACAAAAAAAACTCTCACGCCCCCTTATCTCAAACTTGGCTTTGCTGGCCTTGATCTTGGCTGCTAACCTTGATCTTGGCTCCACGCGTCGCCTCCACCCTTATCTCAAGCTATTGTTGCTGAGTCATCACCTTGGCTTTGCTGGCCTTGATCTTGGCTGCTGACCTTGATCTTGGTTCCACGCGTCGCCTCCACCCATATCTCAAGCTATTGTTGCTGAGTCATCACGTTCTTATCTCAAGCTATTGTTGTTGAGCCACCACGTGATCTTGAACAAAATTGCCATGAGATGTAAGAGTTATGTTTGTTGTTATTGTTGTTAAGTCATCACGTGACCTTGAAAAAAATATACAAACAGGATATGACGTCACTTCCACTTCAAAACAGACTTCCGCTCCAAAACAGACTTCCACTCCAAAAAAAAAACCTTGTCTAAAGCGGATATGACGTCACTTCCGCTCCAAAACAGACTTCCGCTCCAAAACAGACTTCCACTCCCAAAAAACCTTATCTAAACCGGATGTGACGTCACTTCCGCTCCAAAACAGACTTCCGCTCCAAAACAGACTTCCACTCCCAAAAAACCTTATCTAAACCGGATGTGACGTCACTTCCGCTCCAAAACAGACTTCCGCTCCAAAACAGACAGTTCCTTACTACTTTCATTTGAACTTGTTCATGTGAACTAGTTCATTTGAACTTCTTCATTTTAAACCGTTCATTTGAACTGGTTCATTTGAACTTGTTCATTTGAGCGGGTTGAACTGGTACATTTAAACTGATTAATTTGAACTGGTTCATTTGAACTGGTTCATTTGAACTGGTTCATTTGAGCTGGTTGAACTTGTTCATTTGAACTTGATTATTTGAACTGATTCATTTGAACTGGTTCATTTGAACTGATTCATTTGAACTGGTTCATTTGAACTGGTTCATTTGTACTGGTTCATTTTAACTGATTCATTTGAACTTGGTCATTTGAATTGGTTCATTTGAACTTGTTCATTTGAACTCGTTCATTTGAACTGATTCATTTGAATTAGTTCATTTGAACTAGTTCAGTTGAACTTGTTCATTTGAACTGCTCCATTTGAACTTGTTCATTTGAACTTGTTCATTTGAACTTGTTCATTTGAACTTGTTCATTTGAACTAGTTCATTTGAACTAGTTCATTTGAACTTGTTCATTTGAACTGGTTCATTTGAGCTGGTTGAACTGGATCAGTTGAACTAGTTCATTTGAACTAGTTCATTTGAACTAGTTCATTTGAACTCGTTCATTTGAACTGGTTCATTTGAACTGGTTCATTTGAACTGGTTCATTTGAACTTGTTCATTTGAACTAGTTCATTTGAACTGGTTCATTTGAACTGGTTCATTTGAACTGGTTCATTTGAACTGGTTAATTTAAACTGGTTAATTTGAACTGGTTCATTTGAGCTGGTTGAACTGGTTCATTTGAACTAGGTCAGTTGAACTTGTTTATTTGAACTAGTTCATTATGCTTGTCCATTTGAATTTGTTCATTTGAACTTGTTCATTTGAACTAGTTCATTTGAACTCGTTCATTTGAACTGGTTCATTTGAATTAGTTCATTTGAACTTGTTCATTTGAACTGGTTCATTTGAACTGGTTCATTTGAACTGGTTCATTTGAACTGGTTCATTTGAACTGGTTCATTTGAACTGGTTCATTTAAATTTGTTCATTTGAACTAGTTCATTTGAGCTTGTCCATTTGAATTTGTTCATTTGAACTTGTTCATTTGAACTAGTTCATTTGAACTCGTTCATTTGAACTGGTTCATTTGAACTGGTTCATTTGAACTGGTTCATTTGAACTGGTTCATTTGAACTGGTTCATTTGAACTGGTTCATTTGAACTGGTTCATTTGAACTGGTTCATTTGAACTGGTTCATTTGAACTGGTTCATTTGAACTGGTTCATTTGAACTGGTTCATTTGAACTGGTATATTGGAACTGGTTCATTTGAGCTGGTTGAACTTGTTCTTTTGAACTTGATTATTTGAACTGATTCATTTGAACTGGTTCATTTGAACTGATTCATTTGAACTGGTTCATTTGAGCTGGTTCATTTGAACTGGTTCATTTGAACTTTCTCATTTGAACTAGTTCAATTGATCTGAATCATTTGAACTTGTTCATTTGAACTAGTTCATTTCAACTTGTTCATTTGAACTAGTTCATTTGAACTTGTTCATTTGAACTGGTTCATATGAACTAGTTCATTTAAGCTGGTTGAACTGGTTTAGTTGAACGAGTTCATTTGAACTTGTTCATTTGAACAAGTTCAGTTGACCTTGTTAATTTGAACTGATTCATTTGAACTGGTTCATTTGAACTGATTCATTTGAACTTGTTCACTTGAACTAGTTCATTTGAACTTGTTCACTTGAACTAGTTCATTTGAAATTGTTCATTTGAACTAGTTCACTTGAACTTGTTCATTTGTACTGGTTCATTTGAACTAGTTCATTTGAACTGGTTCATATAAACTGGTTCATATGAACTAGTTCATTTGTACTTTCTCATTCATTTGAGCTGGTTGAACTGGATCAGTTGAACTAGTTCATTTGAACTAGTTCATTTGAACTTGTTCATTTGAATTAGTTCATTTGAACTGATTCATTTGAATTAGTTCATTTGAACTTTTTCATTTGAACTAGTTCATTTGAACTTGTTCATTTGAACTAGTTCATTTGAACTTGTTCATTTGAACTAGTTCATTTGAACTTGTTCATGTGAACTAGTTCAGTTGAACTTGTTTATGTGAACTAGTTCAGTTGAACTTGTTTATTTGAACTGATTCATTTGAACTGGTGTATTTGAACTGATTCATTTGAACTTGTTCATTTGAACTAGTTCATTTGAACTGAATCATTTGAATTAGTTCATTTGAACTAGTTCATTTGAACTTGTTCATTTGAACTTGTTCATTTGAACCAGTTCATTTAAACTTGTTCATTTGAACTAGTTCAGTTGAACTTGATTATTTGAACTGATTCATTTGAACTGGTTCATTTGATCTGATTCATTTGAACTAGTTCATTTGAACTGATTCATTTGAACTTGTTCATTTGAACTTGTTCATTTGAACTAGTTCACTTGAACTAGTTCATTTGAACTGGCTCATTTGTACTGGTTCATTTTAACTGATTCATTTGAACTTGTTCATATCAACTGGTTCATTTGAACTAGTTCAGTTGAACTTGTTTATTTCAACTAGTTCATTTGAACTTGGTCATTTGAACTAGTTCATTTGAACTTGTTCATTTGAACTAGTTCAGTTGAACTTGTTCATTTGAACTGATTCATTTAAACCTGTTCATTTGAACTGATTCATTTAAACTTGTTCATTTGAACTAGTTCATTTGAACTTGTTCATTTGAACTTGTTCATTTGAACTAGTTCAGTTGAACTTATTCATTTGAACTGATTCATTTGAACTTGTTCATTTGAACTTGTTCATTTGAACTTGTTCATTTGAACTGGTTCATTTCAACTAGTTCATTTGAACTGATTTATTTGAATTAGTTCATTTGAACTGGTTCATTTGAACTGGTTCATTTGAGCTGGTTCATTTAAACTACTTCATTTAAAATAGTTCATTTGAACTGGTTCATTTGAAATGGTTCATTTGAGCTGGTTGAACTGGTTCAGTTGAACGAGTTCATTTGAACTAGTTAATTTGAACTTGTTCATTTGAATTAGTTCATCTGAACTGGTTCATTTGAACTGGTTCATTTGAACTGATTCATTTGAGCTGGTTCATTTGAACTAGTTCATTTGTACTTTCTCATTTGAACTAGTTCAATTGAACTGATTCATTTGAACTTGTTCATTTGAACTAGTTCATTTGAACTGGTTCATTTGAAATGGTTCATTTGAGCTGGTTGAACTGGTTCAGTTGAACGAGTTCTTTTGAACTAGTTAATTTGAACTTGTTCATTTGAATTAGTTCATCTGAACTGATTCATTGGAATTAGTTCACTAGAACTTGTTCATTT